GTAATAGTCCAGATTCATGTATTCCAGAAAAATATACTCGAACCTAATGTTAAGAAGAATAAAGTGTTGAACTGATAGATACAGATAGATTGTAGATATAGATGGTACTTAAAGTTTTAATTTCAAGTTACTCTGACTAATCGATACAAATACTATTTTCACGACGTTACAAGAATTTTAACTTATTAAATACTTAAATTAAATTATTGAGTATGAAAGGTATTGATCCAATGTGGTCTTTTTAGTGACTGGATTTATTGAGAGTGTTCTCACTGACGAGGGGCAGTTTTATATAGAGAAACAGTGAGCCTAAAGAGCCATTCTTACTTACGGCATGCGGACAGTAAAAACAGTGCCGAAGTTAAAAGTGCAAGTTATAGGAAAAGTATAAAGGCTGGGTGCCTTAATCATACCAGCTGGACTGGCCGACTCCAAGCAAGGAAACTGACCGCTGCCCGCATACCGTAAATAGAATTGGCTATTAAAAGTGACTAACTGGACAGAAAAATCTTCTGGTGGTCAAAAACGCAACCTCTAAAGTCTAAAGCACTTAGTAAGCAGACGCTGAAAACCCTAAAAAAAAATCCAAGGACCGCGAGAATCTAACGGCAGCTCCAAGGAGCGCATGAGTAATAAAAAATTCTAATTTTCGTGAACTATTTCTTACGACTTAAGTGCTTCATACTTGAAGGCTTCAGGTATGAATTGTCATGTTTCAACATCTATCTTATTAAAAAGTTGTCAACATATAACCAATACGCAACGATTTATAGTAACGTCACAAGCTGAGGAACATTTGTACAAGGTTGAATGTGTACACACACGTACATATGTGTACATAGGCGTTGCACGCTTGTCAATGGTAGGGAGATGCGTGGCTCCTTGTCGAATCAGTTTGCACGGGGGCCGGCCACTGTTTGCCGAAATGATCAAGCGGTGAAAGCATCGGTCGCCGGTTTCTGGCTGTCGGATCAAGCCCCTCGACCGTGCGCGTTGAAAGGAACCGCGTTAATTAAGTACAACAGCGCCCGAAGCGGTTGTTTCCAGTGTAAACCCTGACGGAACAAAGGATGAACCGGTTCGGAAGAGGGACGACAGAGTGCCAGCCGTGAAGAGGGTCACCGACCATCCCCTCTGGACTTGGATTGCTCGCGTCCGGCCCGACCCGATCTGCCTCCTTGTTTCGGAGCTTTGGTTACGCGCGAGATCGATCATATTATGGCCTATTGGGCCCGTTATGTGGGTCACTCCCGCATTAACACCGCGAATTGATTGCTAAAGTACCCGGAAGGGAGCCAACTAGCCTTATCGACGCGAAGATGAGTCTCTTTCTTGCACGACTTCTTTCTGCTATATACATACATAGTATCAGTGAGTAGATACTTCAGACAACTCTTTCATAGAACTCGTTTCTTTTCTATAATGATTAAACAACTAGTTGTATGATATTATATATGTATACAATAACTCATAAGATTGATAAAATGTACATGTATCTAAAACTATTATTTAGCAATACTTTCAACTAAGAATTTCATATCCATTATTAATAAAAGTAGACTGTATGCCGGATTTGTATGTAAAATTCTACTTTTGTATAATGCGCATATTTAATTCAATTGCAGAACACATTTAGACGAAATTTGAAATTATTATTTAAAATGATTCCAACTTCTGGAGAATATTATGAGGTAAAAATATGTTATCATTTAGACTTTCGAAGATAACGGGAAACACGGAAAAGCTTAACTCGTATGTATGAAAATTGAGCTCACTCTCGTATACTCGCACAACTACATCTACCGTGATTGCACATTGCATGTTCAAATGACAAAGGAAATTCCTGTCTGAAACGCATTTTTTAAACTGATACCATGAATATTTTATTTTGCATAAAAATCAACACACTAATAATCACCGACACGTATGATTTATGCATAGAAATACACATTCAAACTTTGTGCTTGCTGACCATAAAACTTATTGTCGTCTGAAATTGCATCCGCGTATTTCTTAACCGAAGGTAACGCGATCAAGGCATCACAATAACAAGGGACACGAGCAACAAGGGGTCGGCTCTCACGCAACGCGACACACGCGCGGCGACGCGTGTACGCACGTGAGCTCAGTTGAATGCCGTGCGTGACCGGCAAACGGTGCCGGGCATGTAATGGACAATCCACTCTTGGGAATCGATACCAGCAAAAGCTATGTATCAGGGTTACTGATTCAAGTTTAGGAAACGCAATATTTTTTTTTTATAACTCGTACACTCCCATTTGTAAATCAAGGAATGCAATCAATTGAATAGAAGCAGCAACCCTGAACTATGTATATACAAGTTGTAATAGACACAGACTCTTATTTATATAATAATTTCTTACTTTAATTTATGGAAAGCAGTATTGTAGTATGAACTCTATGGCTAAAAAAATTATTCTTATTCTTTAACAAAAATATCAATGTATGCAAGGTTGAATAATGAATAAAATATCAGAGTATTAAACATTAAATTACATAACTAAGAATAATGAAATAATTCTTTCACGAAAATTCAGCTTACTCAGTTTTTGTATCTTAAAACAATAAAACGCAATGGATTCATTGTCGTTTACAAAATGTTAATCCTCAAACTCTAGCAATTCTATTAGAATGATTATTATGATAATACAATAATTATAAAAAGCGAAATTACATTAACAAAGAAATATTATGCAATTATTTATTTTTAATGAAATTCTTAAGAGGCGTATACACTTTGTACAGATTCATTAGAAGTCTATCAATAATTTGGTCTTAGATTGCCAATAAAAATGTACGTACGTCAGCTTACTTTGACAATCGCTCGATCTCGAAGTTTGTAATATGCAAATTCCATCATTACAATTGAGTTTATTACAATATGCAGATCTTGAATGTCGAGGCAAGCTCGTGACTCGTTATCATTTTGTTTCCGTATAATCAACAGTGTACGATATACAAAGGGAAAAGCGAAGCAGTACCCCGTGTGGTATACAATAGAAAGAGTTTTATTGTTGTAAAAAGCTAGCTTATTTAGTATTATTAATTGTCAGCATCGTTTTTAAAATGTTTGCGAATCACACAAGGTATTGATACAAGTACGTCTTCTAAATAATACACAAGCTGTTTATTCAAATCCTTGAAAAAATGAATCAACGTACAAAAATAAGATTCATAAAACTTAAAATTCATTTGAAATATCTTTTCATAAAATGAAACAAAAGTCATTCATATAACCATTCTTATTGATTCAGCCTGTGTAATAAAACTTGAGCCTTTCCTATAACGATTGTCGTTGGAAATGTTACTTACCGCTTCAGTATGTACAGGATGGGCAGCAAACAGAAGGCCTGTCAAGGCAGCAAATCCCGGCCTCAACGATGCCACTGCTAGACTCACCCTTGTGACCAAAACGCATGCAATGGCGTGCAGGGCAATATTCGTCGCGTGATACCAGCTCGGCGTTAATCCCGACATCAAGTAGTTCAACCTGAAAATACGAAAACGTGTTAAATTGAAATCTGCCTCAACGATCGTTCCAGGGTAATAAATTACTTTGTACCGTGATGACATAGCTACTTCACTAATACACATTCTTGAGCAGTACTTTACGCAATATTTTTTGTAGCATTCTGTGTAGTATTTTATGTAACATTTTACATAATATTATTTATGTAATGTACGATAAATATTAATGTAAAGTAAAAGAATATTTAGCTATAGATTTCGTTACTGAAATTAATTTCAATCATTGAAAATGAAATGTATGAATAATGTAAAAATACGATGATACAAGAGTATTAACGATCTAATTTACGTTCAAAACATAATTATGCTATGACAGTAATTTGAAACGTTGTTCGCAGCATCGTTAAGCAGCAAGTAATCGAATTCCCTTACAGACCAGGAGGCGCCTCTAATTCTGGTCAGCCTACTCATGGCAGAGTATCGTTCTAACCGGCTAATTTCGTTTGATCTAATTGCTCGATAGTTGAAACCACGCAGTCCTTCTGACGGGGCTCTAAGTGAAATCGGTGAACCGTGATTGTAATTAGATAATTACAGCTGCGCGTTAGCCAGTAAGGGGTTTATTCTGTCTTCAAAGATATATTCCCGTGTTCCTACAGTTTCATGGTACTTACAAATTAAATAACGTAATTGGATCTCCCTTATATCAATTTGATACGCTCGCTATAAAAGTACGTATTATCGTACCAAATAATCAGATGAGCTTATTTGAAATTCCTACTAGAATAGAAATGAACGGAAGTTGGTTTACTTACTTCAATAATTAATATTTTCATAAATTTTTAACTATTTAATTCGTTTTAGGGAAAATAAATTGAGAAAATGAAGAACGAGTGAGAACGAAAACAAATGAACTATTTGTTGCTATAAAACGTACGAGGTTAGTTGAAAAAGTAGAAATTCGCTTCCGAGCAGAATCATCGTAGCATAAATACGAAAATTGTATATTCTCTAGACTCTGCTTGCGGTAATCTCCATCAGCTGACCATTCAAGAAATCGGAAAACAATGAGCGTCTCCTCGTTTCTAAGTAACAGCGGATTTGAAGCGCAGGGGAAGTTTTCATGGGGAATCCGCTTAAGTCGACCAAGATAATCGGATTTCAGAAAACCACTCCATATATCTATTCACTCGGTTCTGTCCATTCACCGCAACCGGTGTACGATTTCTTTTCCGACCTCTCTGTCCGTCTTTTTGTCACCCGTTTCTCTTTTAATTTCAAACCGAGTTCCACGAGCTATCGAATTTTTTATTTCTTTTTTACTATTCAGAGTGCATTTAAACCAAACGAGTTCTTCCCTCACTCCAGCAAGCCTCATAGCACTCTGTCACCAACTGTTATTAAAGCAAAAATTCGCTCAATTGATCTGAAGATATTATTGTTCATATATACGGAATCGATAAAAAATGTGACTCCAGATTATGCTCTAAACTTTGGCAGAATAGATTTTCATTAAACAAATACTTTATAGGGTTCTAACAAAGTCAATTCATGAAAGAAGTTATGTATAATTTTTTTAAGTTAAGATATTTACAGTACGGCGTTATAATAAACTCATTAATCAAAGATCATTTGATATTCATATTAACTCACCCTGTAAGATAGAAAATGTCGCTCAAGGTAACGGCCAACTGCAAAGTTCTTTATAATGTAATCATATGTTAAATACAGCCCGGTTAGATTGGCTAGCAGTGTATACATACAGGGTGTCCCAGAAAAAGTGTTAAAGCCAAAGAGAGGTGATTCTGTAAGTGTTTCTGAACAATAATTTCTTTTGCCAAAATGCAAAGTGAGGCACGGTTTTTAAATTATTAACGAAAAACACTGACCAATAAAAGACATGTAGGGTCTGCGCTAAGCCACGACCGAGCATCTATTGGCTAAGCGCGGCCTACGCGTTCTATTATGCGTTCATTAATCAATGTTTTTCGTTAATAATTCAAAAACCATAGCTCACGTTGCATTTTACCAAAGGAAATTGTTGTTCAGCAACACCTCCAGAATTACCCCTTTTAGGCACTAACACTTTTTCTGGGACACTGTGTACATATAAACATGTGTGTGACGTGAACCGATATGAAGTAGCTGGAAGATTTGCGAGAAGAGAAATCGGAGAGTGTCCGCAGTTAGTTAACGCATTAGTTACGAAATCCCTTTCTACAGTAGAAAGAAAAATAGGTGAGACAGCGAACCACCATCAGGACGAAAACAAACACGGTAGCTGCTGACGCGGCCGGGCAATAATTTTGAAAGTCTGCCGACGGCACGAGGGTTCGACGCCCCTGTGAGCTTGGCCCTGTTCCAGGTGTCAAGGATCCCCGGGGCTAGCCCGTAGGCGTATCCTGTCGACTCCTTGGACCTGGATCAACCCGAAAGAACTCGAACGTGTCACTTGCAAGTTTGCACGCAGATTTTACGGGGAACGTAATGCAGTCAGAAGCCCAACAATTATAATCTAACCTATGTATAAACCTTGCTAAAACCTAAGCGCATCTTGCTTTTGCATTGATCTTCGGTTTGATAAGTTTCTAAAAAAGAACCCGATTAGTAATCTTTAAGCTCGTAAGGAAACGAAACAGAAATTAGGGTATTTCAGACCGCGGCATTAGAAGAAAATTACATCAAATTAAACCCTGATCAACTACGTTCGGTAACCTAAAGCGATCTATGAATATCACGTTTTGCATATAAATTGATGCGGCATCTCCTCCGACGCGGTTACTTTTATCGCAGCGAGATCCAGTCAAAGATCGCGCTTTGAACATAAAATATCATTCCATGAATAAATCCCTTTTCGGAGGCGGCTCGTTCTGAGAACGACGACCGGCTATGTATTCGCAAGCAGCGGATGCCCTCGTTTCCGGCGTCCGTGGTATGTATTTAGCGAACGTCGAGACCAGACCGGCATTCCAAAACATTTCCGAGACGCAATCTCGCTTCACAAGGCGCGAGGAATACTACGGCGTTCGCGCCGTAAAGGATATGAGGGCTGCATATTTAGGATCTTCCTGTTTGCGCTTAAAGGGTTCCCTAGCCGTGACGCGCAACCTCGACGTACCCCCTCTGCTGTTGCTGTTGTTGTTGTTACGCTGTTGCTCTAGATTCGCTTCGGTTTCACTTGATTGTCTACACGGATTCCCGCGGAAAGGGAATTTGGCGCCGCGTCGATGTGCTGAATTCAATTAACGTTGCAAAATCCAATCTGCTAAGGGAAATTCTTATTTATCAAGTCTCACCGTTCCTTTTGTTATCAATTTCCTCTAAGTTCTCTATCGTCGAAACAATGTCTGAACTGTGCTAGTAATTTCAGATGTATTTTAATCTGGCTGGTGAGGTGGGAAAGTAACAAAACTGGTAAGTTTCGCAGACGTGTATAATGCGCATTCGACGAAGTCATTTTTTAATCAATGTTAAATTTATTGCTTAAGTGTCCTGTACTCTTATAAATATATAAAAGGTTTTTTTTAAATCTCTTTTAATAAACTGACGATTTTCATTAAGCTTCCCTGTTGTTAAAACAACATTTAAACCACATTGAAAAATTAAATGAGATTTTAATATTATAATGTTTATCAATTTTAGAACAATTACAAACTAAATTAAACCAAACCGAACTTATCTAACTCGACTATAAACATTGCCTATTATACATTAATTTCATATGCATTATTCCGATAGCAAACATAGTTCCACAAATATCGGTGGATTCCCTAGTAAAGTAGAATTTAATATTAGCTCACTTCCGAACGGGAAGTTAAAACTAGCGTCGCACCGATCCGTGCCACGGTATATTATGTCACTGCGAGATTCCCGTGTATTATAGGCCCGCGATATCCGTTTCGCCGATATATTATTCGTTCGACATTATGACGATCAATTCCACCCGAAACAGCGGGAAAATTATACTCGAAATAACATACGTAATCGCTGTTCCGTATGCACAGTATCTGTAAAATACAACGCGAGGCTATTACGGACGACGCGACGCGTTCACGCGATAGATTTGATGCTAATCGCTGATTTTAAGCACCTAAAATAATTATTGGGAAATTAGCCGCTTGCCAACGGACTCGACGCGCCTAACCATTTTCGATTTCGGTGGATTAGATCGCGTATTCACTCTTCGTTGAATGAAAAGGTGCAAATTGAAACCGATAGCTCATTTACATATTTTTTGGATAAATGTGAAATCTCCCAGTTATCATCAAAATTCTACGACGTGATAAATTTCGCCGATTATAACGTAGTAAATAGGTGTATAATTTCTTGTATATTGACTTTGGTCCATCTGGTTTAGAGTTGATGTTGTCACATCTCATTCGATTATGTTTTATGTTAATTGTTCTCACTTACAAACTAGAATATATATGATTTTTAAGAAATAAATTCATGATTCATTATAAATCTTCCAGTTTCAGGGGTATTGATTATTAATTTAGAATTTTTTTTTCAGATTTTTTGTTAAACATTTGGAAATCCTATAAATGAGAAGGTATGTACAGGTGTTCATTCGTTGACTTCTTATTCTTTTCCAAATGTGATCATTACGAGCAAAATCGGTTGATGTAAACGAGGATGCGAACATACATTCATTATTTCACAAATGTATAACTCATTACGAGCGTTCCATTGACGTGGACGTAGTCGTGAATATAAAATTCTGCCGTTTAACAAATCTGTCGGATTCTTTCAGCCGGAAGTACTATTGTTCTTGTAATAAAATTCACGACTACTTTCCCTGTGTCCATTTATTTCGTAGTCGTCCCTTCGTCCCATTATTGCCATCGTTGAGACTTTTTATTTCACGGCATTTTTTTGCCAGCGTTACCCCACGATCCTTTGCCTTCGCTCTGCCTCTCCCTTCGCTTGTTCGGGGCTGCGAAGGAGGTTTATATTTCTCATAATTAATTGGCCCCGACGGAGCGGGGAGTTTCTAAACAATGGTTAAAGTCGCTTCGTGAT